GAGAATTACAGTATCTCACGGATTCAGAGGATCCATTCTCAATTTGTATCTGGAGGTTCAAAGGTAGACTGGAGTTACCATTTAAAGAGGCAAATCAATGCTTGACTACAAACACTTCAGCCTATAGAATTTCACCCCCTCCCCTCTCTGTCTGTCGATCTATCCATCCAGCAAGCTTTCCTCCAGCAACAAGCTAACAACACCTATTGTTAAGCAACAGGAAGATGATACAGCTACCTCTGACTGTTTCGCACGCTTCAGATCATTCAAGATTTTCCCTATTGAGGGATGTGGTAACTTAAACTGAGAAGTTATGCAAGCCTATTGCATTCTTGCCAATTCAGGACAGAAACACTTGTCGCAGGCCTTATTTGCAAATAGGCACCATGGATGGGTATTGGTATAAGACATTTTAGTAGCGAAGAGCAATAACTCACCAAGACTATATCTAACTAGTGCAGCACTGTCTAATAAGAGTTTGCCTTTCTTTCAATACAGATGTGTGTAGGCATGCAACAATATAAAAGCATCAACATTATGGTGGTTTCCATTTGAGCATCTTTTCTGAACCTCAATTGAGAACCATAAGTAGCAGGTTGAGTGGGGGTGGGTCTGAATGTAGGCAGGCAGGTAAACAATCCTCACAAAAAGCAAACGAGGAACATATTGCAAAATAAGCTTATAATGTTTAATTTGTTTAGACTGTGTGCAACTTTATTTTCTACATATCTTTTTGGACGCTGTTAGTGGTGGTTTTCTACTCGACTGCATTTCATTGAAAGGTGTTTAAAATGTTGCTATTTACATGCATATCCCGGACAATGTGTTTCTAAATTGTTTGCACAAAAGCTTAACTTCAACAATATCACATTGAAAGATAAGGATGTGTGTCCCCCAGAGACAAATTCTGCATGATTATCTAACGGAATCTGACTGTGCTGTACATCTACTGAATTTTACTATAATACAGCCGTGGTAAAACATAAAAGAGTTAACTACTTAGGTTACTATTGGAGTATGTTTGTGTTGACTGGTTCCTTTAATGGGGCAGGGTTTGTTCTCCATGATAAATAACCTCTCTGCAGGACGTTGATGACAGTATTGATCTGATCTCAACAATCACTTAGCCAGTTGCCTCTGTTCAACCTTGGTAGTGACTGACATCTTTACAGTGAATTTGTGACCATGTGTTTTTTGTTGGTTAGGAGGCTCTTTCAGTTCTTTTAATTTTATTTCAGTTCCTACATCCTTGCTTATCAGTTAAGGTAAAATATTACTACAAACCCCTCCAATGACCTTGTTATAAAAGAGAACACAGATAAAACAAACACAATTTGGAGTAATTAGATGATAATTGAAGGAAAATACACATAGTATGATGACATGCATGCAATACTTAAACTACTTGCAGCTGTTTTATATTAACTGCAGACATCCAGGAAGACAAACAGGGACAGCAAGGGATTGATTTCTAAACTAACAACCTTAAAGTATCTGCACCTAACCTGAATTAAAATTCATTAGAAGATTAGGAGACAGCTATGTGGCTTCGCCAAAATAAAGCAGTGAAAGGCCCAGATATTAGCTAATAGTCTAAAAACAGATATAGAAACAAATGGTATACTTATTTCAACTATAGTGCAAGAGTATCATACTTGAAGTGGCATTAATTATATAGTTGGCTGACAGACAAAGGGGAAAATGAAGAAAGCAGCATCTGGAGGCATTGCAGCTGTATTCCATTGCTTCTGATGTCTGAGACGTCATTCCTACAGCAAAATCTTTTAATAGTGTCTTAACAGCAGGTCAACTACTCCTAATTAAATCCACCTGCACAGAATAATCATCTTATTAAAATGATTGGATCAGCAGTGTTTTGTGTGTTGCCAAATTGTTAAACAGATTATCGCTATAATGAGTTTATTTGTGCAGCGAGATCGTATTCATCTGTCCTCACCATGCTGTATGACAGATACAATTCTCATCAGCACCAAAGGTGAAGAGCTTTATGAGAGTGATAGGAATTTTGAAAGTAGTGGTTATTATTCTTGACAGCTGAGTGCCCTTTAATTTAATGGTGAATATAATCAGATTAATTCAAAGTATATCCCATTAAGGTATTGGTATTTTCCTGTATAGGAAAAACTTTGAAAGTGAAATAAACACTAAGGTGAAATTATTTGGCGGGTGAATAGAGCTGGCACTAAAAACAGACTTGTAGTCCTTGAAGTATAAATCTCTCAAATCAGTTCCAGCTCATAAAAGTTTGAGAGAGGGAAATATGGCTTTGATTCTGGCAGTGATGAAATCAATACAGTACAGTATCGCCTATGCCTGTGTTTAGTGTAAACACTCATGTTTCCTCTGTGGTTTGTTTTCACTTCATACAACCGGTGTTCCTAAGGTGTTTAACACTCTTGTTAATCAGAGCGCCTTCCAGGGTCACAAATCTATCCACACCTCCCACTTAGAGCAAAGGAATGTGTGTCCATTTGTGTGTGCATGCAAATTAATTCTTTGCACGTGCAGGTTTATATACAGTAAGTCTACTTTATAATATTTTAACGCTGCACTTACTACGCATTAAGTGTCCAGACGTCATCATGTACACAATTTATGGATCATACAGTGATTTAAAAGGTAAAACAAACAAGTTTCCCTGCTGCCCTAAAAGTAAGAGTTGACTGAACTAAATCTGAATACTCGGTGGGGAAAGTACTGAATTGGATACCATGCTACCATTAATGACATCACACTCCCTCTCCCTGTGCTTGATCCCCCAGCATTGTTTACCTCTCCGGTTCGGCCATGCATGCATTTTAGAGCATGTGAATCACTCTGTGTGCAACTGTTGGCTTTGAGGAGGGTGACTGAAACTGCTGAACTGAATTAAGGCTTTATTTTGAGTTTGAGTGAAGTGTGTTTTCCAATGATTTGCTAAATTAAATTATATATGATACAAGGACAGTTTCTGGTGAAACAAAAATATTCAAATAAATCGATTCTGTCCAAAGAAACGTTTGTTTTTAGTGGTGTTGTTAAATGAGTCTTTATTCTGAAAGGAATAAACGAGATATGGAAACTAAAACTGTAGTGAAAGGTGTATATTTTGCTGGTATAATGTCGATATGACTATGAACAGATCCTTTTTACTGTCTATTTTTGCTGGGAACTACACTCGGCTCGCAGAAGAAAATTGGCCAAACCTCATCTCTCCAGGGAAGCGTTGCTGCAGTCTCACAGCTCAGACGGGCCGTGTGGCTGCTCTAACCTGTTAACATGGGCAGTGAAATAAAAAGCAAGACGTTCCGTTACGCACGTGCGCTGTAAATGTGGCCAGTATGTCCAGGGCTTTATGTACCACCATGGCAGCCTGTTTCATGGCTATTATTGATTTGCGAGGTAAAATTAGTGTTTTTGTCAATGCAGTCTGATAGGCCATAGCATTTAAACATTTGTTTCGGTCTGAGATGCTGGTGCTGTAGTGAGACATTTAGTCTGAAAGTGGTATACAGCACCTCAGCAGAACATTCGTCAAGTTCAATTAAATTCAAATTAATAAAACCTATATATTTAAATGAAGCTATTTACAATAGATTAGCTGATTCCGCTAAATTGCTGTATAATGTTATACAGTGCATGAGGGTGACTACTTGACCTTTAGCAGCATGGAGGTCAGGGAAGCAGCTCTGGGCAAATTATTTCACTCCTCCTGTTGACTCCTCAAGATAAATGTAGTGCTTCAGGGGGACAGGATATTAGAATGCTTCGAAACATGGGCCACCTGGCACATCAATGGTAAACCTCAAATCAATGTTTAACAGAGGCTGCATTTAAATGAGAAAATCTAATCTATAGCTTCTGAATAATTAAATTGGTTTCCATAGCTTGTGCCAGCTCAAAACAGAATCCAAGGTTATCTCCACCTAAAGAGACGGAAAGGGCAAGTCTGCCACTCAAAGCTGAGTAAAATGGTAAGCTCTGTAAAAAAAAAAAAAAAAACATCTAGAGCTTATTGGACAAATGGGGGTTCGATGGACACTTGAAAGTACAGTTTCATCTTGAAAGGTCTTGGAATCGCATTTGTCAGATAAGTCAGTCTGAATGGTTGGCAACAAAGTCTATTGTAGTTGGATATGGGACACAGATCCTTTTTCCTCTCCCCTTTGTTGCAGATTAAGACAAAGTACAGCCGTCTGGCCGGGCAGGCAGGAGCCACCTATAGCCTCGAAATGCAGGATGAGTCATTTGGAACATTCCGGAAAGGATTTCAACACCCCCACCCCCTTCGTTCCACCACCACCCCAACCCTTGTTTTTAATTACACACTCTCCTATTCCTGTCTTAGGGCGTGAATTCCACAAGTATTTTCAAGCTGCTTGGATGCACATCAGCTTACGTCTAACTAGAAAGCTTTAATACTTTTCAACATGTCCAATCTGTCAGTCAGTGAGGAAAATACACAAAAACTCAAACATCCACACACACACACACAAACACACTTTCAATAGCGTTGGTTGCACTCAGCCGAGCCAAGTTATCTCAGGTCAGTAATTGAGATGTTATCTTCACAGGAGAGGATACACTCCCGGGATCATTCAACATGGCCTCACCACTCGTTTCCATTTGAGCTGAATCAGCTCTCTCTCTCTTCACCTCCTCCCCTTGTGATTAAAGCACCTCACTACTGTCGGCTGCTTGCAAACCAGCTTCCGCTCCATGAGTAAGCGGCAACTTTAATACGCTGGTGTTATGAGGTTGGAGATCTGGCCACAATAAACAATGATTACCCTGCCGTCAGCAGGGGCATGTCAGCAGGCTTGTGTGTTGCTTGAGGGAGTGTTTGAGTCATGAGTGATCAGGAGTAACATATATTCTGACTCTCCCTCTTCCTTTACGTTTAAATTTCAGTGCCCTACGACAAATAAAACAGTCACGTGCAACTGCAAAAGTCACAGCTGTGTTTTTATAGTGTCTACAAGTTCTAGACGAAAGCTCACCTTGATTGCAGGTCTTGCCGGTGAAGCCGGGGTGGCACTTGCATTTATTGGGTCCCACGCAGTCTCCGTGCTTACAGCCAGGCTGACACAGAGCTATTCAGGGAGGATTCAAAGAGGAAGAGACAGATCAGTGCAGCGCCCTGGAAGACTTCTTGTACAAGATCAGGATGACAAAGCACTTAATCCTACTGCTCCTTGACTTGGCTGTAAATTATCTGTTTACTCCACATTACAGCAATAAGACAGCCTGATGCCTCATTCATATGGGAAATGTGTTTGTTTCTTTCTCCTTGTATGACAGTGCTATTATCATTGACTAATGATAATGGAGCAGCCATATTCAGCTAACCATTATAGCATTTATTTCACATTGAACCGAACTGGATCTTGGAAGTTTTATTGTCCTTACTAATAGTAAATCATTTCACACTGTGTGAGATAAATGAGAAGTTTGACCTTTTAACACAAAGCTAAGTTTTGATTTTTTTTGATTTTGATTAAAATGCAGTGCTTTATACTGGCATCCAGCCAACGAGGATTACCTAGGCGAATAATATTTTCCCCCTAGACTGAAGCTGAAACAATTAGAGCACCAAAACAGTAGATTATAATTAGTGCGTCAGTAAAGAGCTGCCCTGCAGATCGTACATAGTGCGTGGATGGTGATATTTTGAGTGCGTACAGAGACGTGGTAGTCACTGCAGCTGCACAGCTTCACTGACTCTCTGTGTTCTGTCTCAGTGAGCTGGAGGCTTGCCCTGCTTATCTGACTATGCTTACTGCAGCTTGCTGCTAAGCATGTCGGATACACTGGGCCTCAGCCAAGTGTTACTAATTTTCATTAAAAGCTTCATTAATTCTGTCATAATACAGTGCAATCAGAGGACTTAATTATCACTGTGGTGGAAGAGGCAGTACATACGTGCTCGTCGCCTGTGGTCGTGTGGCTGTCGTCGCTGTGTTGTGGTCGCTGCGTGTACCTTTGAGAAAGAGAGAGATTGTACGTCGGAGAGTCGCTGGTCCTTGTGGTAAGGGCATCGCTGGCGATGGCTGCCGGAGTGTTTATCTTGTGGCACCTCACACAGCCAAGCCAATAAAGGAGGAGCCACACCCGGCCGAGGATCCGAAGAACGGCAACTGACCCACAGCTGTAGAGTTTACTATTGTTGTGTCTGTGATCACATACATACATACATATTACATCTAAACAACCTTCTGTGTGCAGCTCGTTCACCATTTTTGAGTTGTCATATGTGCTGCTTGTAGCGTCTCTGTATTTGGTTGTATGTTCTCAATTAGCAGCATTTTTTTCTAAATGCTGAGCATGTGTTTTTTTGTACTTGTGTATTGTCTGTTTGCATGTGTTTT